CTGGCACCCTTACTGGTCTGAAAAAATCAGGGTGGACTAAATATGGAAAGAGTCGGACAACAGCCATAGGTGTCCTTTTTAGGTTAGTTTGGTTGGAACTAGATTGGCAAGCCACTGGTTTAGGTTGGACACCCATGCATTTTGACCAAAGGGACTTGTGACAAGAGTATGTGTGCACGGCCATGGCCATGGCTCTTCCCCAGAATCGGCTCCCCTTTTTGATGTTTGAGTCGCGTTTTTGGGGTCCCCTTTTGTTTTCCGCAAGGCAGACAGTCCGGTTTTTCCAGAGCCAAAAATCAAAGGCCCTTTGGAAGTGACGGTTGAGGGACACTCCCAACTGCAAATGGGTGCGAAACAAATCAGTGCCTTGGGAGCTCGGTCGGCTTTCGTTTCTTTCCGCCAATTTTTTACAGCGAGCTCAGCGAAAGCTGGGGGGGGGGGGGTAATAACGAGCGAAAGCCATGCAAAAGTTCAATGAACTCGGGGATCCCTTGAATTCAGCCTTTGACATTGTAGTAACATTTGCAGATGGTTTGGAGCCGAATCAACAAGTTTGTGGGTTCCATGTCCTATTTCTATTACAAGCCCGGATATAAAGTCAGCTTCCGTCTAGTTGGTGGTTTAGTTTGGAGCTTAGGGGCTGGTTTCCCCTTGACCCTTTGCAAGACCCAGGGTTCAGGTCCCCAAACTCCATGAAGATATGACAGTGGACATTTTGAGGTTCTCAAATTACGTTCAGGGATAGTTTTCCGTTTTTAAACAGCCATGTCGAGGGTAGTTCTGAAGACTGTCATTATCGGAGCAAGGGGCTTCACAGGGATAGTACCTTTTCGATGTTGCATCCTTTTGCTGCTCCTTTGATTCTTTACCATGAATTTTGGGTCGACTTTTACCAGAAGAAGAAATATGATCCCGACTTTCCCTGAGGGCCAGGAAGTCGGGGTGATAGACCGGGTAGTGGGATGTCCGTGCGCTTCCGTCCCAACTGTTGCTGGAGAGGGGCTCGGTCCTTTCAGTGTCCCCGCCAAAACTTGGTGGTTCCCAGCCATCCCCTTAGCTTTTTAGCTTTTCAGAGGTCAGTGGGGGTTGCCATTAAGCTTTTAGTTTTAGCAGGGTATCTGAGGACAGCTCAGAAACCATCTGAAGCGATTGATTAATCATGGGACAGGCCCACTTTTTGGTGTGGGAATATGCGGTGTACGCAACTTAAATGCCAATGAGAGAAGTCAACTCCGGGTGCGCTTCTGGTTTTGGTAGTCCGCTGGATAGTCCAGGATGAATTCCTTTTCCCAAAATTGAGGTTCCCCCTCGGATTTCCGTGAAAACAAGCCCGAAACGGGTGGCCTCAAAAAAGCGCACACCTTGCACACACACACACACACTGCTGTGACTCAGAAGGGGAAGCAAGTGAGGCCTAGAAAGGTTCCCTCGAAAACTCACTGGCTGATTCTTGGGGAGCAGCTGGAATGAGCCCGGCGATTCATCAATTTTCAGGAAGCCGCTGGGGATGACCAGTTTTGGGGGCGGCTTGGCTGTTTTTCCACGGCAACCCGTTGTTGTTTGTTTTTTTTTTCAAGGGAAGCCAACAAGAAGCCACAGGGAGTTTGGGGGAGACTTCACCATGGGAGACAACCGGGAAACCCTGGAGACACCCCAACTCCGCTGCCGTGGCTAGGCATTGGTGCAGGGAAGTGGACGAATCTTGGCGGATGCTGGTTATGTCAGGGTTCCCTATCTGGGTTTGTCTTGGAAATAGGACGTGGAACCAACAAAAATTGTTTCCCCTTTATTCTTTCCTCTAAAGCCATCCCCAAAAGGGTGGCCTCCAAAAGAATCATACCCCTTCCCCTTTTGGCGTTTTCCCTTTTGGTTTCCCAGTGGTTTCCCCTTGGTTTCTCTTTGGCATTGGGTTCCCTTCGGGCTCCCGGCGGTTTCCGTTTCCCTTTGGAGTTGATTTTCCGTTTTTTTCGTTCCAAAAGGTCCATCAAGCAGTCGGTGAACCGCCGAGACGCTGCGTTTGGCAGTGGCTCTTTTGCGGAGACGCCTTTCCCCTTTTTTGCAAAGGGGGGGCCAAGACCACCTCTGGGTGTATTTTAGGTGACGTGGGTGTGCCGTCGAGTGGCATGTTGTTCTTCAATAAGCTCTAAGGATCACCACCACCACCCCCCCCCCCCAAAGAAGCTGGCCATCTGCTCTCAAACCATGGAGCCCCCGGAGAATGGCCACACCTTCTTTCCTCAGCACCGCCCCAAAGTTTCGGGACCCGTTCCACAAGCGGGACCCGGGACCCGCACGGCGCCGAAGAATTCGGGAGCTGAGGAGATCTGCTGGGAGAGTCGCACGAAGGAGATCGATTGGAAGGCCTTCCAGGCCTCGATCGTCGTCGGGACACGCAGAACACACCTGCGCCTGCGGCGTCCAGTTCCCCATGCGCCAGGCGCGGCTCTCCCCGGCCCTGCGCGCGTGGTGGCGCGACCCAGAAGGCCGGAAGCCGAGAAAGCACGACCGTCGCTTTTGGAGGAACATGGATCCCGATGTCGGGATATCGGGTAAGTGGTGATGTAAAGAAAGATGGTGGAGCTTGCAGCTTGCACATGTTGAATGGGGGTAGTTTGGCTTTGAGAAACGATCTCAATGCCAATAGATTTGCATCAAAAACTGAAAGCTTGGGGATGCTGAGAATGTCGGCGTTCGAGTTCTATGTCTCCAAACATCTTCTGAGCCACAATCAAAACCTGGGTAGATGAAGGTTAGTAAAGGACGATCCCAACCATAAATAGCTGCGCCGCCTTTCTAATTCTTTACATGGTTCTGGGTTCACCATTTTTGTACCAGGTTTTGATTGTGACTCTTCTGTTTTTTTGGATTTGGCGGAGGCACACCGCAAGACAAACAGGTCGCAACACACCCTCTAGATCTTTTGCCAGTATCTTCCATTTTTGCTTAAGTTTTGTTTTTTTCTTCCCCCCTGTTGGTTTTAAACGGAATCTATCCAGTAAACTCCGTCACCTTGAGGAGTTGAAAAAACAAAACAAGGGACACTGGGTCTGTCGCTTTTTTCGAAGTACCCTGTTTGGGGAACAGCAAACCACAAAATCCATGTGGTTTTTAGGGGCTGCATATCTTTCTCTTTTTTGCTCCACAGGCACATCCAGCCCAAGCTGACGAGATGATCGCGCCAGCGAGAAGACGGGGCTACGCGGGGAACCAGGCGGGTGGTTGTGGACGGTTTTAAGTTGCTGGGTGAACCTTCTGAGGGTTCTCAAGCTACTTTTGGGATTTTTTTCGGGGGTGGTTTCCCTCCAAAATTAAGTTGAACGTTGGTCTTGAGGATGTCGCTTCAATCTTGAGCCCCGGAACTTCATGTCCGAAAAGGCCCGAAAAAGCAGGACTCCCCGAAAACGTCCGGCAAGCCATGGGTCAATCCATCAATCCAGCCACAGAAATCCGCTGACGCTGACGACCCTTGAAATCCGCTTTGGGCGCCTCAGGACCCCTGCAGTGGGCCTCACAACGACGCAGTCAAAACCAGGGTACAACAGTTCTTGGACATCTAAGCCACTGGCTCAAAACCCGGACAGATGAAGCTTAGTAAAGGACGATCCCAACCACAAATGGCTGCGGATATCCGCCTTCTTAATTCCTTTACATGGTTCTGGGTAGACCATGTTAGTAACCGGGTTTTGATTGTGGCTCATTTGTTTTGCCCAGCAACAGGTGCGGCAAAACCGCCCTCGAGTGACTCAATGGCGTTGGAGTCTGGCCTCCGGCTCCGCTGCTTTGGCTCGGCTTGGGCCCGCGGTTTTTCCCGGCCAAGGGCAAGTTGCCCAGGAAAAAAAGGGGTCAACATGTTGACGGTTTTTCTTTTCTTTGGTTATCAAAAGTCAGACATTGGATTCGGTTGTTTCCTTGACCCTTCCACTGAATGCGGGTGACATTGATAATTGCTTTTTTCTGTTACTGGGGCCAGCTGTGGCGCCGCTTCGGCGTGATGCATCGACAAGAACGGCTTTCAAAACAACGCCCAGCCTCAGCGACCCCAGAAGAGCCCAGAAGTTGAGCCATGAAAACGACGAAGGCGCGCGCCCCCGAAAGACTTCACCTCCCCAGTTCACCAAGCGCCTGAGATTCTTGGAGATACTTCCAGGAGCAAGCCGCAGGTCTGTTTGGTGGGACTTCTGTTGAATGGGACCAGACTCTGTCAAGATTTCGCAGACCACGTTGGGCCTTTCTTGGGCTCTGCCGCAAACGCGCCATGCCGCCCGAAGCGAATTGGGGGCCCTCTGGACAATCCTGGCCGCAACCGCTCCGTGCCCCGTGTGGGGGCCCGGGGCCCATTGCTCCTCTGGGGGCTGTGCCGGAGGGATGCGCGGCTTGGATGAAATGAGAGTGTCTCGCATTTTTGGGAGTCTTTTGAGGATGCTCCTCTAAAAGGACCAATAGAAACGAGAAAGGCTGACTAGTTGTCTCTTGGGGTGTGTGGACCTCTTTGAGATGCTTTTGAGAAGGAACATCAGAAGGTAACAAAAAGAGGGGTGGATTCCAAAAATCGCAAATCCAATTTTTCACCGCGCGACAGGGGATCTGAGTGCCCATGTTGCTTCCGAAAAACCTGGGAGGGGGTCCTAGAAAAAGGCGCTGTGAGCATCACCTCAAGAGGTGGACGGTCGATTTTGTGTGTTTTTGTCCATGGAGAGTGGAGGCTTGAGGAGGTTCGGATTCCTTGAGCTTGTCGCAACCAACGTTTTTTCAAGCCATCAGAGTTGCAAAGGATCACCAAGCCACAAAGGAACTGGTCAGCTGGGGTCCTTTCCTGAGCAGGAATCCCGAGTTCATTCCCAGCAAACTGCGCTCCAACTTCCAGTTTGCTCGGAATTCTTTCAGGTTTGTCCCTAAAAGCCCATCCCCCCCCCCCACCATCCCCGGGTTTCCCACTGAGAACCTCAGAACCTCCGCCCGAAGCTTTCTGCGGCGAAACGGGTCGAAGTCAAAGGCGGAGCTCTCGCCCAAGCAGCTGACGCAGCAGGCCTTGAAGGCCTGCGGCCAGCGCTCGGACTGGCAGGCCATGGCGGTTTCGCGGGGGTCATGATTTTTGACCGTTCCTGGGAAAGTCAGAAATGGGGGTGGTTCAAAATTTCAGATGTAGTCTTTGGTTCCATTCGCCAAGGGTGCGAGTTTGGTGCATGTTTTTGAGCGAGCCAAATTGGGGTTGTTTTTGTTGCCCTACTGAACGGGGGTGAAATTGACAATGGTAAAGTCATGGGGTCAGCTTCGTCGGTTGAGGAGGGGAGGCGAGATCAAGGAAAAAAAAAGGGGACGTTTTTTGCAGGGGTCCAAAAAGGTGGCCAGCCTGCCTGAGCCCCCCCCCCCTTCAAGAGAGGCTGTTCAACCTGAGGTCAAGACCTGAGGTTCGCCGGTCGTTTCGTCGGGGGCAGGGTTGAGGCAAGAGAAGGGGGAGGGAGGGGCCGTTTTCCCGGTCCTGCCTGAGGCCCCCCCCCGCCCTCAAGAGAGGCTGTTCAACCACAGGGCTTCCCTCAACTTTTTGAGGGGGTGCTGATAAGTGTACCCCCTCAAGAATCAATGGAAGTGGGTCCTCAGCAGGGGTTGTGCAAGAGGAACAGAATCGTCTTGCAACGCCCTGTGAGAGCATTCATATGATAAAAAATAAAAATCAAAAATAATGGAAACTAATTTACATTTACATGCTGGGATATGAAATTGATTTTGGACATATGCAAGTCATCAATTTGATTTCCAGCTCGAAATATGCCGAAACATGTCTGGGATATCTCGGGACATCTATCCTTCTGAAACACGACGATGAGCTCATGAGAATTTGCAAGGAAACAGCCCCAAAGACCTGGGGAGTGTTCACGTAGCTTCTTAGCTTCCGACCTTCTGTAGGCAGGGTCTGTAGCTTTGGCACATGCCTATGATGAATGGCCATGATTTTCGTCGTTCCTTCCCAAAAGGGGCTGGACATGAAGCACAAGCTGAACGATGTCCATTTCGGGCCCATAGGTGTCCTTTTTGGTTGTTTTGGTCGAAAAATAGATGGCCCTGGTTTACCTGGAAGTTTAATCATCTACCAGGGCCATCTATTTCCCCTCAAAGGATTCGGGCCCTGACCAAATTGGGTTTGCCAGGGCTTACTCCAACTCTTATGGCGTCCGACTTCTGGTCCCATTCTTTCGCCATCCAAGTCACTCGTTCAGTGGTAGGTTCAAGGGAAACGACCCAGTCGACTTTGATAACCAAAAACAAGAAGTGAAACAATAATGGCCCCAACTGAGGTCCGCGATTTTTGAGTTGGTCCCCCCTTTTGGTGGGTAAACTGACTTCGTGAGTTCCCGGACTTTCTCTTTTGGATGACCATTTTGGTCGCTCACAAGTTCCGGCCCCGTCCCCCCCTGGTCCCCCCAGCTCGCTCGCTCGCTCGCTCCATCCGCCGAATCCGCCCGCTCCGAGCCCCGCCGAATCCGCCCGCTCCATCCGCTCGCTCCATCCGTCGCATCGATCCGTAGGGCGCGGTGGCGGCGGTGGGCCTGGGCTGCAGCTCGCCGAAGAGCAGCGCCCTGGCCATGGGCGCCTGCGGGAAGGCCAGCCGCTGGCCGCAGGCGCTGCCGGGGAGCCCAGAGGCGGTGCGGGGAGGTTTGGGCGGGGAGCGTTTGGGCGGTGAGGCGGTAAACACGTGGCGGGTGGGGTGGGGTGGGGTGGGGGAGGTGGAGTCGTTGTGTCAGTTCTGTTTGGCGTGATCTCCTTGTCTTTTTTTTTTTGGGGGGGGGGGGATAGTTGTGTTTTTTTTTTTCTCCCCGAGTTTTGGCTGCTTCTTTTGGTTTTGGGTGGTTTTTCGGCTGGGTCGCGGTTTTGGGGGTGTTTTGTAAAGGTCTGCGGGGGTTTTGGGGCTGGCTTTTAATTGGATAGAATTTGAGGTTTTCGGGTAGGTTGGCGGGTTCTTGATGCGGTGGTGTTTGAGCTTTAGGTGATTTTTATGTTCATGTGTTTCTTTGTTTGTTGGGGAGGGGGGTAGATTTTCGGGCAGTTGAGGCTTTTAGGGTGGGGCACTTTGGCTCAGCGGCTCAAGGTTTTGGATTGTTGGGCACGTATGTGCCATTTTGCTGCTTGTCGGGCGCCGCCGTACAGACTAGGTTTCAATCTTGGCTTCGGGTGGGCTTTGGAGGTTTTGGTTGGTGGGCGGGTCGCTTTCGGGAGGAGTTTCAAGGCGGCCACGGACAAGGGAACAACCCTGATGCCACGGAAGAGGTCTAGGCAACCTCTTCGGGACGCCTCCGCACAATCTTCTCCACAAAAAGTTGACCAACCCCTGCTGACCTGAGGAGCTCTCCAGCATGAAATCTGGGTGTGCCAAATCTCGAAGGATAATTTTCAGGTTTCAGACTAGCATCCTAACATGCGCCCTGAATAAAAGCCCACTAGATTTGACCTGTGAGCCTGTGAGTTTGATTTGACACAATGGGCCACATGTGGTTTGCTCCTTCGGGCAGTTTCAGCCGGCTTTTGCTAGAGTGGCGTTTGGGTGAATGTTGTTGCAGCCCATGCGCTGAGCCAGTGTTCTGGTGTATTGCACCCTTGCAAGGCCATGGCTATGCTGGGTGCTTGGCACTTTTCCGATGAACTTTTTAGGGGCTTCATACCAGGGATTGGCTTATGGACTCACCTTTGATTCAGTCCATCCCAAACGAAGCAAATGGGCCCAGGGCAAAACCCTTCGTCCAAGCAACTCAACTGGCCTGCGGGTTGCCAGCTGAGGTTCTTGCTGCACGACTGCCGCCCATTCTTGAATGGCACAAGTTTTCTTGCTGGTGCGATAAGTCGGGAATTTGGGAATGAAAGAAGGGGTCCCCTTAAAGGACACCACGAGGAATGGTTTACAAGGGTCATTAATTCCCTCATTCCCTGCTGAGCACCAGCAAGTTTTCCCATAATTTGATTTGTGCGTATGTTCAGGGCAACACACGTTTTTAGAATGGGCTTGTGGGGAAGAATGGTGGGTGACTGGGGTTTTGCCTTAATTAGAAGCGGAGGGCGATTTTTTCCTCATGGGAAACCGCAAAGGTCAACGGCAGGACGGGGTGATGTGCAACATCGCTCTAAGCAGCTGTGCAAAGGCGCAGCAGTGGCAGCGAGCACTGGGCTTGTTGGAGGAGATGGGCAAGATGAGCATCCAGGACGGGCCGAAGTTGAGGTGCAGGGTGCCTTGTAGTCTACTCTGCTTGCAGAGATGTCTTGACCTCCTCGAACGGTAGGGTCCATCGGGTTTGTTTGACGGTTGTTGTCGTTTGGTGGTGTTTTCAAGTGGTTTGGGCTGGTTTTGGAACACCCTACCAATATCCCAAAACCAACATGATGGATGCTCAACTAGTCCCCCCCGCCCCGGAACCCGGGAAACAAATGCCATCAACCGACCTTGAGCCCACATAAGCCCAAGACTACGCCCCTCGTACCAATCCAAACTCCTGACTGAACCGCGTACACAGCACCGGCACAGTTTTGGTGGGACTTGCTATTTGCTCGGGCTGCATCCGGAATTTTGTGACTGTAGCAGAGGCTTGCGTACCTAGTCATCTTGGTAGAGCCAAACACCAGTCTGAGGCACTGCTCAATTGAGTGTTGTGCTGGAACCCCAGTTGTTCAGCCAAGTTTTCTCCCTGGGATCGCTTTTGACATAATTTCGCATGTTCAGGCTTCGAACACAGGGATCAGAATCAAGCATCGTATTTTTGGCGGGCACCAACTCAGGTATTTGTTTCAGGGTTTGGGCAAGTAAGACGTCTCAGGAGGACACCATCTCCTACAACTGTGCCATCAGCGCATGCGGCAAGGCCTTGCAAAGCTTCACGGCGCACCGGCTGATCGAGCAGATGGAAGGAGTTTCTGCGGGTGTGTCTGGTGAAGAAAGCAACATCGAGCTCACACAGGTATATGTGAAGATAGGGCGACTGGTTTTCCTTGGGGTTTTCTTCACCAACCAGAAAAGGGTGGCCTCAGAAAAATGCCACAAACCCACATGATTGTTTCTCTACTCGAAACCAAGGGGATTTTGTCCAAACGACCCTTTGGGTGTTCCCACGAGATGTTCAGGATTGCCCTTTCACAAACGGGTTAGGGATGGAATAACCATGCGTAAAACCAGGGTGGCTGGGGTTGGTGCCCTCATAATCATGGTCCTGGTGGGTTCTCCAAAGGAAGCAATCAACATGGCCAATACTGTGGATGGACGAAATCCATTTCGCACCACTGTTCAGAAACGCTGGAAATTGGTGATTCCCCTATAGATGCCAATAAACGTCATGGTTTCCAATGCTTTCAACCTGGTGCGAAATGGATTTCGTCCATCAACAGTAGCTACGTAAGTGGGGATCGATCGCCACTTGTCGGCCTTTTTTTGGGGGGGGGGGGGACTCAAAGCCATAACGGTGTTTCTTCTGGCTTTCCTTTGGTTCCCCTTGACCCACCTACTAGGTGGCCCAGTAGTGCCTTTTTACCGTTTCTTGTTTGGGGAGGGTTCCCCGGTTCCCCTACTAAAATAGTCCAAACCGAAAAAGAAATAGAAAATCGGGTACCGACTTATTCTATCCTCTCAAAGCTGGAGGACCTAGCCGACAAAAAACAGGGCGTACCAGCTCTCCCCAACGCGAAAACGCGCGCGCCAAGTCTCTGGGGTAGGACGGCGCCTGGCGCCCTCGGTGGTCACCTTCGCCTCCGCCATGGACGCGTGCAACCGGGGAGGCTTCTGGCAGCTCACGCTGACGCTGGTCGCCCGCCTGGAGGCGACTGGGGTCAAAATTCGTCGCCACCGGGAATTGCAGGGCTCCTTAAAAGATACAGTTTGCCTTTCCACCAAAATACAGGGACACCACCATTTACAAGGCAATGCTCAGGTGTATAATGTACGGATCCCTGATTTGGACCGCAGGTTCCATTTTGGGGTTAGCCGATTTTTGACCCACAGCCACTTCGAGTCGACTTGATTCGAGTCGATTCGAGTCGTGGGGTAGTCGGGAGGCCGTATTGACGGAGAGGGCGTGGACGGAGAGGGCTGTGGTCGGTAGACGGTGTTGGGATTGAATGGCGGTAAGAGAGCCTGAAAGAGGGGCTTGGGGGCATTTGGGGGGGGGGTTGGGGGCTAGGGGGGGGCCAACATCTCTCAAGACCATCAGTTGGTTCAGTTTGGACATTTCGTGTATTTCGCTGTCGGCGGTGGGACTCGCTCCCTCAGTTCAACTGGACTTGTGGTAAACCACAAATTGGTGGTTTTTGGTCAATCCACTCAGGAAGTGAGACAATCATAGGAATCATCTTAGACGAGTTTGGCTGACAATTTGGTTCATGTTTCAGTTACCAGCGCCATCTAGGTTTGCGCTTGGACACAAAGGGCCACAATCAAGTGAAGGCGAGGATATGTTGAGAAAAGGCATAGTTTTCGGGAGCCAAAACTGCCAGCCACCCCAGTGGCACTTTTTTTTTTTTTGGGGGGGGGTTTGGAGAGTTCCTTTAAAATAAACCAGCAAACCAGGGTGTCCCTCCCTCATGGCCACTGGTCTGGGGGTCTGGCCAGTGGGACGTGCCGCTTGCAAGGGGCCTCAATAGCACCCTCCTTGGCGGGGGGTTGCGGCGCCGCCCAACCGCATGTCTTGACACACTGGGACGCCAGCAAACCCAATAACACGACCGCACGCGGGGAACGGATTGGGGAACCGCTAGCAAAAGAAAGAACGGCCAAGCTCTCATCTGGTTGCACATTCGAAACTTGGGTAGATGAAGGCTAGGGGAACATGTATATACTAGTTGAATAATGAATTGTTTATAATTCAATAATATGAACAAATCAGTACCAACTTCCAACCATGAAACGGTACCGCCTGTATAGGTTGGTCTCAAAACAAGGGGGCCCCAAAGTGCTTGGTGTTCTTTTGGTCTCGCACCAGTACAACAAACAACGCCACCCATTTTGGCTGCACGCAGGCGCACAGTGTGGAGGCGAACGAGTACATCTACGATGCTCTGATCCACTCCTGCGCACTGGGCGGCAGGCGATAGCGGTTGATGTTGACAGGGCGACCATCTTCGGAGGGATCAACCACCTGCCATCTGGAGACCCATCTACCGTAGAGCGAAAGGCATAAAGCATATATGACAAGCATCGGCAGATAGAAGCCCCAACAAGCCAATCGACCTACAACGGCGTAAGCTGCCAACCTCTCCGCTTGCGGTGTGTTTGATCGTCAATTTTCCTTGTTGTTAGGCTTTTGGCTTGTGCTCGGGGCCAATGGCGGATTTCCAGAATATGACTGTAGCTTCCAAACTGTCCAGAAGTGTCCCACGCCCCCCCATACAGCTAGATCAGGAAGCCGCGCCGAACCACCAAACTTTCTTGGACATCGTCTGGTTGCCAACCTCCTCACCTCCTTTTGGTTTCTTTCAAGGAGTACAGGGCTCTGGTTGAGCCGAATCCGACCAAACTCACAAGCATTCTTCCGGCCAGGCGCCTTGACTGGTTGGTTTTTTTGGGGAAGCCACCAAACCATAGGTGTGCTTTTTAGGCTAAATTGGGAGAAATAGATGGCACTGGTTTAGATAGGCTTTATTTCATTTACCAGGGCCATCCATTTGTTCAAAAGGTCACCTATGCACCAAACTCGTTTTCTTCATAGCAAACAAATACCCTTGAATTCTGTGGGCTTTTCTTGGGTCTGGTGGATCTTGAAACGCCTTCTTCACTCGGATGTTCAACCCACGTCAGGTAAGTAGGTTCCTTGGATCCAGTTGCCCCAGTTATCCCATGGTTATCACCTACTTACCTGGCTGTAGTCCACCAGTTTTGATCCACGACCTTGTTACTAGTAGCAACCCCCAGTTACCTTACTTCACTGTTCTTGTTTTGCTTTTGGTTCTGTTCATGTTTGCTCGCAGGCTGCAAAACAGAAAGCAGCCCGTCCTTTTTGTTTGTTGCAAGCCCATAGAACGAGTTGTAGAGGTTCCAGTTTCAGTGAGTCAGTTGCCTTGATGGATCCCAGCCATTAGCTTTTCAGATCTTTTTCGGTTTGCTTATTTGGCTGTGGCGCAAAATTAAACGATCGGAGGGGCGGTTTCCGCAGGTTTTGGTACCCGTGTTTCCACTTACCAGGGGAACCGAGTTTGGAATTCCGGTTTTTTGAGCCACAGCCATTTAACCCACAAGTTCGTCAATTTGAGCAGGGGATGTGTACATGGACAGCCCAGTTTCCGTGAAATACCCAACCTGCGTAGTCAAAATATCGTTTGGCAGGTGGCAGCAGGCTCTATTAGTTTTAATCCCCTCCAGGTACGTGAAATACCCCACCTGCGCAATTTCGATTCTTCAGGTGTCACCACACTGTTCTGCGGTGTGAGAACATCGACAGCCCAGTTTCCGTGAAATACCCAACCTGCGTAGTCAAAATATCGTTTGGCAGGTGGCAGCAGGCTCTATTAGTTTTAATCCCCTCCAGTTACGTGAAATACCCAACCTGCGCAATTTCGATTCTTCAGGTGGCACCACACTGTTCTGCCGTGTGTGAACATGGACAGCCCAGTTTCCGTGAAATACCCAACCTGCGTAGTCACAATACCGTTTGGCAGGTGGCAGCAGACTCTATCAGTTTTAATCCCCTGCAGTTACGTGAAATACCCAACCTGCGCAATTTCGATTCTTCAGGTGGCACCACACTGTTCTGCCGTGTGTGAACATGGACAGCCCAGTTTCCGTGAAATACCCAACCTGCGTAGTCAAAATATCGTTTGGCAGGTGGCAGCAGGCTCTATTAGTTTTAATCCCCTCCAGTTACGTGAAATACCCAACCTGCGCAATTTCGATTCTTCAGGTGGCACCAGACTGCTCTGCCGTGTGTGAACATGGACAGCCCAGTTTCCGTGAAATACCCAACCTGCGTAGTCAAAATATCGTTTAGCAGGTCCCAAAAGGCTCTATTAGTTTTAATCCCCTCCAGTTACGTGAAATACCCCACCTGCGCAATTTCGATTCTTCAGGTGGCACCAGACTGCTCTGCCGTGTGTGAACATGGACAGCCCAGTTTCCGTGAAATACCCAACCTGCGTAGTCAAAATATCGTTTAGCAGGTCCCAAAAGGCTCTATTAGTTTTAATCCCCTCCAGTTACGTGAAATACCCCACCTGCGCAATTTCGATTCTTCAGGTGGCACCAGACTGCTCTGCCGTGTGTGAACATGGACAGCCCAGTTTCCGTGAAATACGCAACCTGCGTAGTCAAAATATCGTTTGGCAGGTGGCAGCAGGCTCTATTAGTTTTAATCCCCTCCAGTTACGTGAAATACCCAACCTGCGCAATTTCGATTCTTCGGGTGCCACCAGACTGTCTGCGTGTGTGAGTAGTCAAAATATCGTTTGGCAGGGCTGCCAGGCTCTATTAGATTTCATCCCCTCCAGTTACGTGAAATACCCACCTGCGCAATTTCGACTCTTGAGGTGGCACCACACTGCTCTGCCGTGTGTGAACATGGACAGCCCAGTTTCCGTGAAATACCCAACCTGCGTAGTCAAAATACCGTTTGGCAGGTGGCAGCAGGCTCTATTAGTTTTAATCCCCTCCAGTTACGTGAAATACCCAACCTGCGCAATTTCGATTCTTCAGGTGGCACCAGACTGCTCTGCCGTGTGTGAACATGGACAGCCCAGTTTCCGTGAAATACCCAACCTGCGTAGTCAAAATATCGTTTGGCAGGTGGCAGCAGGCTCTATTGTTTTGATCCCCTTCAGTTACGTGAACTACCCAACCTGCGCAATTTCGATTCTTCAGGTGGCAGCACACTCCTCTGCCGTGTGCAGGTCGAGAGCCGTGCGAGTGAACTTTTGAGGTGGCATCAGGCTCTACTAGTAAGGTCCGGCAGAGCCGGGGGGCGGAAGTTTCAAAGCAGTGAACAACTATAGTTTGGAGAACTGTCCTTGGCCCCTTGCTCTCTCTCTCTCTCTCTCTCTTTTTCTCTCTTTCTCTCTTTCTCTCTTTCTCTTTCTCTTTCTGTTTCTCTGTCTCTTTCTCTCTCTTTCTATCTATCTCTCTAGCTATCTCTATATCTGTTTATTGATCTATCTATCTACCCATCTTTCTCTGCACTTAAAAGTTGCGATGTTCAATCCCCGAAAGTTGACTTCGCGTACTACTTTCGTACTTAAAAGTTGCGATTTTCGAGCCCCAGCTGCGAAACTGGACTTCACGTACTACTTTCGTAGTTAAAAGTTGCGATTTTCGAGCCCCAGCTACGAAAGTGGACTTCGCGTACTACTTTCGTACTAAAAAGTCGCGATTTTCGAGCCCCAGCTGCGAAAGTGGACTTTGCGTACTACTTTCGTACTTAAAAGTTGCGATTTTCAAGCCCCGGCTGCGAAAGTGGACTTTGCGCACTACTTTCGTACTTAAAAGTTGCGATTTTCAAGCCCCAGCTGCGAAAGTTGACTTCGCGTACTACTTTCGTACTTAAAAGTTGCGATTTATCTATAGATCTACCTATCTATCTACCTCTCTATCTCCTATCTATCTATCTACCTCTCTATTTATTTATCTCTCTATCTCTTTATCTATCTAGCTAGTTATTTGTCTATCTATCTACAAATCTATCTATCTCTGTCTATCTCTGTTTCTCTATCTCTTTCTATCTATTTCTCTAGCTATCTCTATATCTGTTTATTGATCTATCTATCTACCCATCTTTCTCTGCACTTAAAAGTTGCGATGTTCAATCCCCGAAAGTTGACTTCGCGTACTACTTTCGTACTTAAAAGTTGCGATTTTCGAGCCCCAGCTGCGAAACTGGACTTCACGTACTACTTTCGTAGTTAAAAGTTGCGATTTTCGAGCCCCAGCTACGAAAGTGGACTTCGCGTACTACTTTCGTACTAAAAAGTCGCGATTTTCGAGCCCCAGCTGCGAAAGTGGACTTTGCGTACTACTTTCGTACTTAAAAGTTGCGATTTTCAAGCCCCGGCTGCGAAAGTGGACTTTGCGCACTACTTTCGTACTTAAAAGTTGCGATTTTCAAGCCCCAGCTGCGAAAGTTGACTTCGCGTACTACTTTCGTACTTAAAAGTTGCGATTTTCGAGCCCCGGCTGCGAAAGTTGACCTTGCAAAAATGCTGCGCCTGCCACCAAATCTGTGCTTGACCTTGCTAAAGTGCTGCGCCTGCCACAAAATCTGCACTTGACCTTGCGAAAGTGCTGCGCGTGCCACGAATTTTGCACTTGACTTTGCGAAAGTGCTGCATCTGCCACAAATTCTGTACTTGACCTTGCGAAAGTGATGCGCCTGCCACGAATTTTGTACTTGACCTTGCGAAAGTGCTGCGCCTGCCACGAATTTGGCACTTGACCTTGCGAAAGTGCTGCGCCTGCCACGAAATCTATACTTGACCTTGCGAAAGTGCTGCGCCTGCCACGCAATTCAACCTTGCGAAACCTTCGCGCGGCCGTGCCAATGGGCCCGTCTCCGAACCCGTTCCGAACCCGTTCCGAGACCGTTCCGAGACCGTTCCGAGACCGCCTCCGTACAGGCGTCGCAGCCGAGGTGGTTTGCGCACAGTCCGGAAGCCCAATTCACGCACAGCGCCAACGTTTTCTGCATCTTGCCATCCCCCAGCTCGCAGAGAGTGGACGCAGCACCTTGCGAAAGTGCTGCGCCTGCCACGAAATCGATACTTGACCTTGCGAAAGTGCTGCGCCTGCCACGAAATCTATACTTGACCTTGCGAAAGTGCTGCGCCTGCCACGCAATTCAAACCTTGCGAAACCTTCGCGCGGCCGTGCCAATGGGCCCGTCTCCGAACCCGTTCCGAGACCTCCGAGACCGTTCCGAGACCGCCTCCGTACAGGCGTCGCAGCCGAGGTGGTTTGCGCACAGTCCGGAAGCCCAATTCACGCACAGCGCCAACGTTTTCTGCATCTTGCCATCCCCCAGCTCGCAGAGAGTGGACGCAGCACCTTGCGAAAGTGCTGCGCCTGCCACGAAATCGATACTTGACCTTGCGAAAGTGCTGCGCCTGCCACGAAATCTATACTTGACCTTGCGAAAACGACCTTGCGACCGTGCCAACGACCGTTGCTGTCGCCTTCGCAATTCAAAACCATGCCGAAACCTTGCGCGCGCTTCGTGCCAATGGGCCCGTCTCCGACACCGTTCCGACCCGTTCCGAGACCGTTCCGAGACCGCCTCCGTACAGGCGTCGCAGCCGAGGTGGTTTGCGCACAGTCCGGAAGCCCAATTCACGCACAGCGCCAACGTTTTCTGCATCTTGCCATCCCCCAGCTCGCAGAGAGTGCTTGCGAAAGTGCTGCGCCTGCCACGAAATCGATACTTGACCTTGCGAAAGTGCTGCGCCTGCCACGAAATCTATACTTGACCTTGCGAAAGTGCTGCGCCTGCCACGCAATTCAAACCTTGCGAAACCTTCGCGCGGCCGTGCCAATGGGCCCGTCTCCGAGACCGTTCCGAGACCGCCTCCGTACAGGCGTCGCAGCCGAGGTGGTTTGCGCACAGTCCGGAAGCCCAATTCACGCACAGCGCCAACGTTTTCTGCATCTTGCCATCCCCCAGCTCGCAGAGAGTGGACGCAGCACCTTGCGAAAGTGCTGCGCCTGCCACGAAATCGATACTTGACCTTGCGAAAGTGCTGCGCCTGCCACGAAATCTATACTTGACCTTGCGAAAGTGCTGCGCCTGCCACGCAATTCAAACCTTGCGAAACCTTCGCGCGGCCGTGCCAATGGGCCCGTCTCCGAGACCGTTCCGAGACCGCCTCCGTACAGGCGTCGCAGCCGAGGTGGTTTGCGCACAGTCCGGAAGCCCAATTCACGCACAGCGCCAACGTTTTCTGCATCTTGCCATCCCCCAGCTCGCAGAGAGTGGACGCAGCACCTTGCGAAAGTGCTGCGCCTGCCACAAAATCGATACTTGACCTTGCGAAAGTGCTGCGCCTGCCACGAAATCTATACTTGACCTTGCGAAAGTGCTGCGCCTGCCACGCAATTCAAACCTTGCGAAACCTTCGCGCGGCCGTGCCAATGGGCCCGTCTCCGCCCGTCGTTCCGAGACCGTTCCGAGACCGCCTCCGTACAGGCGTCGCAGCCGAGGTGGTTTGCGCATTGTCCGGAAGCCCAATTCACGCACAGCGCCAACGTTTTCTGCATCTTGCCATCCCCCAGCTCGCAGAGAGTGCTTGCGAAAGTGCTGCGCCTGCCACGAAATCTATACTTGAGAAAGCTATCTACGTGTTAAGCTGGCTATATGTCAAAGCTATCTATCTGTCATGCAAGCCTATTGGAAAGCTATCTATCTGTCAAGCTAGCTATATGTCAAAGCTATATGTCAAAGCTATCTATTTGTCATGCAAGCCTATTGGAAAGCTATCTATCTGTCAAGCTAGCTATATGTCAAAGCTATCTATTTGTCATGCAAGCCTATTGGAAAGCTATCTATCTGTCAAGCTAGCTATATGTCAAAGCTATCTATTTGTCATGCAAGCCTATTGGAAAGCTATCTATCTGTCAAGCTAGCTATATGTCAAAGCTATCTATTTGTCATGCTAGCTACCTGTCATAGCTATATGTCAAAGCAGCTAGCTCATTTAGTTCCAGTACTACGGAAGTTTCTTGTTAAACTTCCTTTGATTAGTTCAACCCACGAATTTGTTGCCCTAGTAGTCCGCCCCCAGCTACCTGAAATCCCCCACCTGCGCAAATTTTAAACATCAGGCTACCCCCCAGTCGTGTTATAAAGCACATTAAGTAATACCATGAGTCCAACATCTTGTTCGGCAGGTGGCAGCAGGCTCTCTTGGTTCTAATCTACCAATTTGTTACCTGAGTAGTCCCCCTCCCCACCCAAACAGCGCAATTTGGATTTTTCAGGTGGCATCTGTGGCAGGGGGGGGTTATCCTCTAGCCTCTCTTAAGTATCCGACACGCCCAGCAATGTCGGATATAGTTTGGCAGGTGGCAGCAGGCCCTGGTCTTCCTGTCGCAGATGTCGAGCCGGGACCTGGCGCGGAGCGCCTCCTCCTTCCACGCCGCCATCGGCGCCTGCGGCGCCTGCGGGCGCTGGGCGGAGGCCGTGGAGCTGCTGGCAGAGCTGGGCCAAAGGCGCCTGGCCAAGCACCTCGGCCGGGGGCCGGGCCCAGGGAGGGAGGTTTGGGCAGGTGGATGTTTTGTTAATGTTGAAACGCATGTGGAAACATGAACTGTGTGTGGAATGCTTGACCATAATGGCATGTGCCATTTTGGCTCAAGCATTGCTCTGGGTTCCTGGAACCCAAGCTGATTGAAAAACTTTGATCTTTTGCATTTTCGAACTTAACCCCGACCAAGCAATGGCTTCCTCGGCAACCTCGGCAACTTCCTTTGAGTTGATTGAGGACCAGACACTCACCGTGGAGGAGGTTGAAATGGCCAGCCAGGAGGCCCAGGACATTCGCACACGGGAGGCGGCAGTGGCGGCCGGCTTGGTTTTGGACGAGCCCGAGGCCCCCCCGTCAGCTTCGGCGACCGATGTGATGAATGACCTCTCCAGTGCACTGGAGCGTCTCCAAGTGGCATTTGCCACACCGACTCCCGGCTTGGGTGCCCCTGGCCCCGCCGAGGAGGGCGACAGGGACATGGGGGATGCGGACGGCACGGAGCGGGCCACACCACCGGAGGAGGCGCAGACGCCACCCACGAAGAGACTGAAGGGCTTTGTGGCGGCTTCTCAGAAGGCTACGTCTCAGGCCAACAAACCTGTCACCTTGGTGCCGGTGGACGGAAAACCTGGGTACTTCAAGCTGGTGGACCTCCCGGACTTGTTTCCAGTCCTTCCAGCGTCGGCGGCCACCTTGCTGAGAGACATCACGGTGGAGGAGGCGGTCTCCCTGTTTTACAAGTTTGTTGGGAAGAACCTCACGGAGGACCTGGTGATCCGCATCTTGGAGGCGTACGTCCCGATGAAGATCCAGCTCCGCCAGGAGGAGGTCTGGGCTTCGCAGTTCCAGAGGAACAAGGCGTGTGTCGGCACCCAGCGCATGTACAGGCTCGACGCACCACACTCCACGGAGCCCCAAAACACATGCTTCGCCTCCTTGGGGAAGTGCTTGTTGACGTACTTTTGGCCCGCGACCGCCGTCACCGTGGCCGTGGTGATGGGCGGGTACCGCCTGGTGCCCTGGTCTGGGGTGCGGAGCGTGGTGTCTGCCCCCCCCAGGGCCTTTTGGGTCCGCCTCCTTGGCCGCTCCCCCCCCAGGGCCAACGGCAATCAAGGGGGGGGAGCAACCCAGCTGCCGGATGAGGTCCTGGGAGTAGCCCAACCTGTCATACAAGGCCCCCGCCGCCTCCTGCGGGACCTGCTCGACCCAGTCGTGGACCACATTGCAGCGCCAATTGACCTTCACCTCCACCATCGACGACTTGCTCAGGCCCGCCACCAAGTAGACCGAGTCGAAGGCCTTCAGCGAGGCCAGCGGGAGGGTGATCCGTTCGTCGCAAATTGCCCTGAACCGCTGACAGTAAGGAGGCGCTGCGGTTCAGGGCAATTTGCGACGAACGGATCACCCTCCCGCTGGCCTCGCTGAAGGCCTTTGACTCGGTCTACACCAAGTTGGTGGCGGGCCTGAGCAAGTCGTCGATGGTGGAGGTGAAGGTCAATTGGCGCTGCAATGTGGTCCACGACTGGGTCGAGCAGGTCCCGCAGGGTATGACAGGTTGGGCTACTCCCAGGACCTCATCCAGCAGCTGGGTTGCTCCCCCCCCTTGGGTGCCGTTGGCCCCGGGGGGGGAGCGGCCAAGGAGGCGGACCCAAAGGCCAAGGTCCTGGGGGGGGCAGACACCACGCTCCGCACCCCAGACCAGGGCGCCAGGCGGTACCCGCCCATCACCACGGCTGACGGCGGTCGCGGGCCAAAAGTACGTCAACAAGCACTTTCCGAAGGAGGCGAAGCATGTGTTTTGGGGCTCCGTGGAGTGTGGCTTGGTCTTGCCAAGCATCAGTGCCTGGGAAGTGGTGAGCAAGGAAAAGTTCAAGACCACGGGGGGCTATATGTGCAGATTTTGCAAGGGCTTTTGGAAGGCGAGCCGCGGGGTGACCAGGCTGCTCCAGATCACGGGGTGGCACAGGGATAAGGCCACCTGCTTGCAGTTGGTGATGGACGAGCCCCCGGAGCAGCTGTACAATCAGTGGATCCGCGATCGGATGGAGTTCTACAAGAGGGTGGAGCCAACGGAGCCTCCCAGGGATGAGCGGCTGGTCCTGGGCGACGCGAGCACCCCCCGCATGCGCTTCAGCTCCTCGAACGGCCTGGGGGATGTCATTTGGAGGGCAATTTTATGAGGATGTAACTGAAAACTGGACGCTTTACAAGCCTGGGTTGGGAACAAATTGATTTGTCCATAGTAATCAGCAAGTTCGGACATCCTTTTACTCCCATATGGACCATTTGGAGGGACCTCAAGGGGACGAGCCCTAAATTTTCCCGCAACCAGAGGGACGAGCCCGTGGATTTGTGAGGTGGTTTTCCCTTTCGGTTTCCCTTAAAACCATCATGAAAAAGATGCCCTCTTAAACAAAAAAACCCGACAATTACGCGCAGACACACCGGCAAACATTTCCCATGTCCTTGAGGACATCGGGGTTGATCAAAAGGGTCCTTTACATGGGATCACCATCAGGGACCAAACACGCTCACCTCCAGCCACTTTGGAGGGGGTTCCCTATTGAAATTCATGGCCATTTCGGGCTTGATCAATATTGGACAAATGACCATGGTCAACTCTTCCCATGTGGGAAACATGAGACATGGAATTTTGATGTCCACCAAGGGGTCCCTAATTCAAATTCAGCCCTCAAGCGAGTCATTTTGACCTTCCCCCGCCCGAAAATCGCGTCGCGCGAGCGCGCGATCGCGCAAGGATCAGCAGCTACCAGGTGGCGATCAACGCCTGTGGGCCCTTCTGGCAGCAGGCGCTCCAGGCGGACCCGGCTCGGGCCGGTTCGGTGGGGTCCGGAGAACGGGGGAAAACGGGGGGGATGGAGAGAGGCCACGGTTTCTGGGTGTGGTTCGTTCCTTTTGGAGTTGATACCCCTAGCTTGGCGGTTTGAAGGGAAGGTGCCCCCGAAGGCCGTTTTTGTGGCTTTAGGTATTGTGGAGGGTGCCTGGTATTTTGCAGTTTGAGAGGGAAGCCAAGGGGAAACCCGAAGCCGTTTTGGGGGTCCGATTTCAAGAAAACGACAACCCCCCGAATATGTTTTGTGTCTTCCTGAACCGGGGGCCGGGGAAGGGTTTTGGAGCCGTTTTTTTGGTGCTTTCCCCCAACAGCGACAGCTTTGGGGCCGATTGGCACAGATAGGCTGATGAGTGCGGAGCAGCTTGGGAGGGTCCAGACGAAGATGTTCCGGGGCTGTTAGGAATACCTGGGCGTAGTTTGCGAGAGGGTGAAACAGAAAGGACACTCCTGCAATCAGAACAAATGTATTGTCGTCTTGTTTTCTTTTTGGCTGCCTGGCTCTGTCTGGTTGGCTGCCTGCCCGGCCGAACGCCTGATTGGTTGGTTGGTTGGTTGGTTGGTTGGTTGGTTGGTTGGTTGGTTGGTTGGTTGTTTGGTTGGTTGGTTGGTTGGTTGGTTGGCTCTCTGCCTGGCTCTGCCTGGTTGGCTGGTTGCTTGCTTGGCTGCTTGGTTCTTTTTGTTCTTCTAGGTTTTCCAGTAGCGCCCCTCTACCCTTTTTTGGGGGAGGGTTCCCCTACCAACATAAACAAGGGGTACCAACTTATTCTAACCTCTCAAATCTGGAGGACCTAGTCATTTACCTAAGCATTCTTATAAGGGCAAGCAACCCTAGGACACCGCCAACCCCCCCCACCCCGCCCACCCCAACCGACCCCTCGCTCCTCGCCGCCAGGTGGCCGCCAGCTGCGCGTCCCAGGGCTTCGGCGCGGATCTGCGGCTGCAGACGGGGCTGGTCGCCGCCTGCGAGGCCGCGTCCAGCTGGGCGCAGGCCGCCGGGCGATGGGTTCGACGGGTTCGACGGCTGTGGGGGCGACGGCTGCGGGGACGGCTGAGGGGGCGGCCGAGGGGCGGTTTCGGGGGGGAGGAGAATCGGAGGGGACTTTCTTTTGTGGAGGGTTTCAAGGGGAAACCAAAAGGAAACCAGATATTTGAGAAGGGTTTTGAGCAACTCCCATTTGCTGAAAGGAATATGTTTGTTTCTTTGTTTGTCTTAACAAAAATCCCCTTGTTTGGTGTTAAAGGCAATCGATTTCGCTGTTGGATCTCACATCTTTTTTTTCCTCCTGGGGGCAAACAACAACAAAAAAACGGAGGCTTTGGCTTTGGCTCGTTGGCCTTGGCGCATCCGATGAGGAACGGTGAAAAGAGTGGTTCCTGGTAAGATTCCTGTTTTAAATGGTCCCACCCAAAATGCATCCGGCTTTTCTTTTGGTGTTCCCTTTAAAACTACCAAACAAGGGGTGAACCCAAAACCGACAAACACCGTTGAGGGATTTAAAGGGACAGAAGGAATACAACCATCTTTGCGGAGTTTAGCTTGGGGCATTCAAACCCTTCGCCCACCCTTCACCTACCTTCAGCCACCCTTCACCAACGCACCTTGCCCTCAACCAATGAGCACCACCCAGCCTAAATCAAGCCGGTGTGTGCCTGGAGTCTGGAGTCCAGGGCCATAAGGTAATACGCAAGCAACACCACGCAGCATGTTGGTCGGCACGACTTTTCGGCAGACATGACAACTGAAACAGCATATCAACAAAGAGAACAGAAGCAAGCACAGACATGCATTCTGCGGCCTCTGTGTTTTGTGGCTGAGATTTGGTGCCTTTCTTTTGGAGGTGGGGGCCAGTTGGTGAATGGTACTCTTGGTGACTCTTTGGTTGGGCCTTTTTCGCCCGCGTTTTCGGACGACCGCTCCATGAGCAAAAGGTTTGACTTTTCGGGGTCGGAGAGTCGGAGACCGAGCCATGGTGTAGCTCCTTATTCGTTCTACCCACATCCCTTGTGGGGACAGCCTTCTCCCAAGCACACCCTCAAAAAGAGGGAGAATGAACCAAGGAAGGTGTGTGGCGGAGGGGACCCCGCAAATGGCTGCGGATTTCGTTTTGGTTTCGTTTCAAAACTAGCAAGTCCAGAAAAGACGAGCCTTGGACCGCTAGACCTGTCCTAGATGAACATGGGTTTGTCTCAGAATGAGGGGAGCCCACAAAAGAAAACGGCATCATTTTTTTGTGGTACACCTTGGGATTTTTCCATAGGTCCCAGGAGCACGCTTGCTATCATGGACATTGGGTAGCAACTCAAAAACACCACACGCGCACACAGACACACACACACACAGCCACACACACACACCATCTTCCAATTGGTTTCCCTTTGGCTTTCCCTTTAGGTTAGCTTCCCTTTACCCAGTAAAAAGGGGGGGCCTCTCTCAAATACTAGGTCCCAAAGCTAGGTGCCTTTTTCACCGTTGATGGGGGAGGGTTCCCCTACTAAAATAGACCAACAAGAAAAACATCGGGGTACCAACTTCTTCTAACCTCTCAAATCTGGAGGACCTAGTTAATTCAGACCCACTTCCCTTTACCCAGTAAAAAGGGGGCCTACTTACCACAGACGGACCCATCTATGGTAAGTAGACCTCGCTCTCAACTCAACCCGGAGATTCGGATGGTCACTGGGTTTTGACCCATGGCCATACTGTGGATGGTTGCGAAATCCAGAGATCGCACCACCGTTCAGAAACCCTGGAATGGTCTGATTCTCCTGCAAATAGCAACACATTATGGTTTCCCATGTTTCAAAGTGGTGTGGTTTCAACCATGGTATCTTGGGTGGTGCGAAATGGATTTCGTCCATCCACAGTATGAATCAGCCCACTCAACCCAGGGCTCTGTCATCTGATTTTCCCCTGTTGGGTTTTGAAGGGAATCGATTTCACTGCTGGACAGATGTTTTTTTGTTCCTTCTTTTTTTTTTTCAGGGGCCTCTCTCAAACACAGACCCAAGCCCATGAACCCCTTCAGCGGCGCCTGGAGGCTCTGAGCTTGTTCCACGGCATGCCGGAGGCCAAGATCCGCCAGGATCGGCGGACGAGTCGACGGATCGACGGGCTCGGGACTTGGAGTCGACCTGGCGGTTTGTTTCCTTCTTGTTTTCCCTCCCGTTTTTTTTTTTGTCTTTTTTTTCCCTACTTTTTTGTTTCCTTCTTTTTTTCTTCTTCTATTCTTTTTTGCTTTTCTAAATAAATCACTTGAACTCCCCAAACAAGTTGCAACTTCAACAGGACACCAGCTGTTTTACCTGAAATTCCACTTAGATGTATGCTTGGGCAGATCCTCGTCAAAGAAAGCAGCGTCGGCATCCCACTTCGGCATCACAGTACTAGGAAGTTCTGGTGTTGATTTCGAAGCCAAGCGCCCTTCAGCAAATCAAAACCCGGGTTTTGTTCGGGTGCCGCAGCCGTTGAATTCGTTGGCTGTGGGTCAGGGTTGCGGGAATGAGTCATGGCTTTCTGACTGCGATAGCTTCCCGCATTGGGAAAAAGAGTCATGTGGAGACCACTTGGATACGGCGCCAATTTTTCGCAACTTTCAAGCTTGGCTTAAACAAAAACGGGTCCCAGAATGGTTGAGAGCCAAAAGGAGAGCCAAAAGGAGATTCCGAAAAGACAAACCCGTTGATTGTTTCTTTTCGGTTTCCCTTTAAAGCCAACCAAACAGGGGTCCCCCCCCAAAAAACGACATATCCACTTTGCTACCGGGTTTTGATTCTCGAGCTCCAATTTCCCCCGCTGAACCTGAGCTGATTTCGGCAGGACGAGCAGAGCTTCAACGTGGCCATCCGCGCTTGCGCCAACTTGGAACTCTGGGCGAACGCCCTCAGCCTGCTGCAGAGCGCCAACGATGGGAAGCTGAGCAGCGTGATCACCTACAACTCCGCGCTCAAGAGATGCTCGGCTTGGGT